GCTGTAGACACCTTGCTTACTAGTCTGCTCTCCAGATGTGTTTCAGTCACATATTCAAGCTTCACACTAGGCTCCTCAAGTTACCATATGGGGTATGTGTTTAAATAATCCATGATTCAATTTGTATTCTGTTATAATGTACTTTGGAGACCAAAAGCATAGATACCCTGAGAAGAGAAGCTTCTGGTGGATAGAAGGGAAGTTTTTTAGCTGACAGACATTAGAGATTCGGGAACAGCAAGGGGGCACTTTGCACCCTGGTTCTTGGTCTCCCCTCTAAAGTCCTGTTACTGTGTGTGGTTCTGGATACAGGCTGCAAGAGGGGTTGTTGGTTCTGAACCTGGGACTTCTTTGGTTCTTACAAAATACATAACTATTTAACTATCTCTGGTGGTGAGCATACAAGACACTTCCATCAACTTGGACCCTGACTGTTTTTAAGAAAGTGAATGGGGAGATTGTGTTTCCAGAAGTTCTCTAGCAGGCAAGAAAAAATATTTTAGAGCTGCAGCGTGTGAGTTATGGTTATAAATCCTACTTAAATCCTGTTTTAGGGCCTTCAGATTTTTGGGGATGCAAGGGCAAAGGGGAAGAGGTTATTAGTGAATTGTGGAGCAAGATCAAATGACCTTCCCTAGTTGAGCTAGCTGAAGGAACACTTTTTTAATGCCCAGCAATTCGTAGAATAGCATGATTGATTATCTTCCCACTTATTAACGCAGACATAAATAAACATAAATATATGCAGTACATAGCAAATTAGGTTCTGTCCTTACTGAGATGATTTTCTTAAATGTTTTTTAAATGATGATAAATCGTTCTGATAAAGAGAATCTTTTCTTTGGAGGAATAAAACCAATGTTAGAGTGCTTAAAAAGTAGAGAGGTAGCCAGATGTTCTCACATGGTCAATTAGAAGTTATGGAAATTGCTTCCTTTATTCAAAGCTATTACAAAGCATGATCTTTGGAGACACTACTGTTCTCAGACTGCTGCTTGTTTAATTGAGAACAGCAGTTAGTCAGCATCTTCCAGGTCTGTGCTATGGTTGGCTTTAAAGTGAGTGGGATGTCAGAGGTACACTGGCAGTAGTGGATTGTACAGTAATGGCTTGCAGTGGAGGGTAATTTAAGAGTTAAATTTTACTCTTTGGTCTGAAGTAGGAGCTTTGTCTAGGGCATCTGTAGGACTCTTCAAGGCAGCAAGCTGGAACCAGAATGTAGTGAAATAAAATGCTGATAAAGAGAATTAGGCCTTATTTTAAATGCTTCTGTAAAATAGTATGTATTGATTACCTGAAAGTTTGTTAATTTAAGAACTTCATCAAATGCGGGGGGGATTGCTTTTGGCATGTAAGCTGTCCACTAAGTAACTTATTTTGAAGTAAGGAATGGGATAGAGAAAGTATTAAACCTTTCCTTGTAATGCATAAGGAGTGCATGTGGTTTCTTTTGGTGTCTCAGTCTATCAGCAAGTTCTTGGATTTTTTTCTCTGTTGGAATAACTTGTTAAAACACTAAAATGAAAGTAAAAGAAAGTTGTGTCTGTGAGTCTGATGACTTAGCAATAGCAAAGGCCTTCTGTGTCTGCTTCTTGGCTCAAAAATCCTAGAAAATATAGTGGAAGAGATCACACAGAATCACACAGAATATTCTGAGTTGGAATAAGAATCATCAAAGTCCAATTCCTGACCCTGCAGAGGGCAGGAGAAGAAGAATCACATGATGTGCCTGAGTGCATTATCCAAACACTTCTTGAACTCTGTCAGACTTGGTGCCATGACAGCTTCCCTGGTGAGCCTGTTCCAATGCCCAACCACCCTCTGGGTGAAGAACCTTTTTCCTAATATTCAGCCCAAACCTCCCCTGATGCAGCCTCAGGCCATTCCCTCATGTCCTGTCACTGGTCACCACAGAGAAGAGATCAATACCTGCCCCTCCTCTTCCTCTCATGAGAAAGTTGTAACTGCAATGAGATCTCCCTTCAGTCTTCTCCAGGCTGAACAGACCAAGTGACCTCAGCTGCTTCTCAAATTCCTTCCCCTCAAGGCCCTTCACCATCTTCATTGCTCTCCTTTGGGCACTCCCTAACAGTTCAATGTCTTTCTCATATTGTAGCACCCAGAACTGCCCCCAGCACTTGAGATGAGGCTGCCCCGATGCAGAGCAGGGCAGTCCCTCCCTTGCCTGGCTGGTGATGCTGTGCCTGATGCTCCCCAGGACAGGGTTGGCCCTGCTGGCTGCCAGGACACTGCTGGCTCATGTCCAACTTGTCATCAACCAGGGTCCCCAGGGGCCTTTCTGTGGTGCTGCTTTCCAGCATCTCATTCCCCAGTCTGTCCATACATCCAGGGCTGACCCATTTCAGGTGCAGAATCTGGCACTTTCCCTTGTTCAAACAAGGGAATGCATTTGGTTTTTCTGGCCTCAACCCTTAAACTCTGCCAGAGGTATTCCTGAGAGATGTTTGTCTGACCTGAAAACCAACAGTGGAGGGGATTTCCTGTCTAACCCTGGCAGTTAGTTTTAGTGCTTCACTATATCCAATGTTTTTTTCACATACCATTTGCTGCAACTCAGGTTTGTTACTGAGGACTCAAGTTCTAAAAGAACATTCTATTACTGCTTTCTTTGCAGCTTGCTGGCTTGTAGTAGTACTGGAAGTTACCTCAGTCTTTATCTCTGCTAGTCTGAGGAACCCTGCTTATTTCCCTCTTTCACATCCTGTTGGCTAGACTTCTGATAATTTCCATTACTTGTGTTTGATCCAGATTTCTGCAGCACTAAAAGCTGGATTGAGATGAGCCTTATTTGCATGGTTCCCTGCTCTGCAGCTGGCACTGAGGCTCTTGGGTCTCTCCATGCACTAAAGATATCACCCAGGTCAAATGGCACAGATCTCCTTTCCAGGAGAGGATTCTAAAAGCTGATTGCTGCAGTGTTCAGCTCATTGGTGCTGGAGTCTCTTAAGTCATAACCCTTAAGTGTGATGGTGAAAAAGGGTAAAAAAAACATTTAGTGCAGAGAGCTAAGTGAATATTAGCAGCCATATTACTTATAAGATGCCATTGGAACAAATTGTTTAGAAACGTCTGTTAGTAGAAACTAATTGAATACTGTGTAGATTGGAATATATGAAGCAGGATGCAGCCAAGACTTAATGAGAGAGAGAGAAGGAATTGGCATGTGGATTCCCTCATCTGTTCCCTTCCCAAAATAGCGTGTTTCTAGGGCCAGGAGGGGTAGGAGTAGAACGATGGAACAACTGGACACACAAACACAGTTCAGCATAATTATGGCGAAGAACAATGATGACGTTGTTAAATGGCTATAGAGGGTTGCCACAACTCCCAGGAAGCCCAGTGGCGAATGGTGTGAGTAAAAGGAAGTGTTTCCATGTGGTTTGGCATTCAGTGGTCATTGGTCACTAGCCAACCCTCTCAGCCCTCACTATTCTGTTTGTAACAGTGGTGTTTTCGATGGTTGAGTTTGAAATGCCAAGTGGCACATTAGCATGCAAGTGCTGGTATGTTTTTCTGGTCAAAATATGGGGTTGGGAGTCTGATCTCAGCTTACATTTCAGTTCCAGTGTGGTGATAGGGATAGGGTAAATCTGCTTAGCTGTGGCCCCTGAGAAATGCATCACAGGTGTGGTTCACCTCCACTACTTTGCAGGGATATTATGTGCATGGGTAACATGAAGGGTAGGGTGCTCATTTCAGCAAGGGCCTTCTGACATTTTGCGTGTGGATGACAACACAAAAGTGAGTTCACCCTGGAGAGCAGTGTGCTGGGACAGGGAAAAGATCTAGTTTTATTAGGAAGGTCTTTGTCTTTATTCTACCCTGTTGGTGCAGAAGCAGAATGGAGATCAATACTAATGATAGATTATTGTAAAAATGCATAATTTCTCTAAACCAGCAAATGTAAGCAACTTCTCGTGTTAAATCCCCTCAGAGGATAAAGAAAGAAAATAAGCAATAAAAAGCATGCACAGATGGATGCTATTCTGATAGTAACATATTGAAAATGTTAAAAGGATTGCTAATCGCACAAAATTGTATGCAGTGAGGTCACAAGCAGAGTACTGAACTGTAAAGGTTTTCCATTTGTGGGTTAGCTCAAAACTCTCTAATTTGACTAATGTATCATCAAAGGTGTTCTGTCTTGGATGGCAGGCTTGTTATCTGTCATATATGTGATTTTGTTGGTATAGTGGCACAATAGAAGATACATGTACTGCATTAAGAATTAGTAGTTAGAATGATGTTCCTTTGTTTTCTGCACAGGGACAGAAAACAAATAAGTAACTTATATAAGAGAAGTGGTTACTCTAAGAAATGTGTAGTGTTATGGTAGAATCAAAGCAGTCTCTTGGGGACTACTGTTATTTTTTTTTAAAGTTGGAGGTAAATCTTTTTATTTTTGGATGATAAACTGAGCATAATTCAGGAGAGCCTGGAACGTGATAATTGTTTAATTGCTATAATTTCACATGCATTTTCTGCTGAAGTACGCTTTTTTATCATATGTGATTCTTCCGTTCTTGACCTAATAACAATACAAATTTTTAATAAGGTCGGAACTTAAATATGTAACTGCTGTCTAGGTTTTAAGACAAACTGAAGCAGTGAAAAGTAGCACTTTTCCTAGAATTTAATTCTCATCTGTTACTCTAGGAAGAGCATGGATGATAACTTTGAGCCAATTCTTTGGAGCCCTATGAAATTAAAAAAGTACTGGGAAGCCTGCAGTTTTGCCCTTGTTGTAGAAAAAAAGTAGCTTGGCATCTTGGTTTTCTGCTGTTTTACATTGTAGTCTTGTTGATTTGTCCTTGGGCAGAACAGACCAATATATTTTATGAAAAGAGGAAGAAGAAGAACCATCGGAGAGGTGGATTTTACTTTTTGTTGAGAGACTATTTCCCTCCCCCCCAGGTAAAACAGGATCCTTTCATCACTGTTTAACTTTTTTTTATTATTATCTTTTATTTAATTTCTAGCTGATAAATTTAGACGGAAACTGGAAGAACTGGAGAAGGAGAAAAATTCTTTAAAATTTCAGCTTCCTTCAAGGCATCCCTCTGTTAGCAGTTTTTTGGATAGGTTCATGACCCAAGTTCAGGCAACATTGCACTGGGCTGCTGATAATTGGTAAGTTTGTTGATTCATTTTTGTGTAAAACAGTGCTTCTATTTTTCTCAAAATGCAGAATACACTTATGAATATCTATAATAAAGAGTTTTAATGACCATCTAACATGTCCATATGGAGCTTGTTTATGAAAATCCCACCCTGCCCCCCCCATTTTTTTTTTCTTTCTACAATTCTTTCAGAATTCCCCTCAGAAACATTGATCATGATGAACTGGCTAATTAAATGGAATGTTTTTCTCATTGATGTTGAGTGAGAATGGGATTGAATCCTTGACACGGCAGCTTGAGCATACAACAGCAACGCAGCTTGAGCAACGCTTCCCTGTGGAGTTAATTCTGATGCTCCCTTTCAGGCAATGAAAGGATATTTAAATATAAAATAAAAACCAGATTATTTTTGATATGAATAGATCTTTGGGAACTTCCTTTTGTGTGCCACTTCTTAGATAGCAATATTGAGCTCAGCACTGTACAAAGTCACAAAAATAAATTCTAAACCTCATCTTGAAGGGATAACTTCAAAGATGGGAGGAAAGTGAGATGTGTCAGATGGCCCGAGAGGAATAGGTTAGGGAAAAAAATAGTCTCTATTTCTTGGTCTGCCTTAATCTGTGCTCCTAGTTACTGTTGTTAGAAGAGGATACTTCATAGGAATTGAAAGCTATTCTCAAATGCAATCACACAAATGAAAGAAGAGAAGCCTTTTGTTTTCTGGCAGCTTGTTAATATAAAGGCTGCAGTGTGCTAGTCAGTATCTTCATGTGTAATTTTTGATAGACATGAAAATTAGATAAAATCAGTACAGATAATAGGATTTTTTTGTGAAATTGGAGAATTCAAAGGTATTTTTAGTCTCTATTTATAGCATCTAGTAATAAGGATGGTTTATAAGAAGCTGCATTCCTTCAGAGCTGTTTCCTTTTACCATCTGAGGCTCTAAGAGGCTGTTTTAGCATTCCTTAAAGATTAGGATACACCATTCTCTCTTTTTTCATTAATATGTGTTTGGTCTATGCATTAATTTGTAGTAATGATTTTGACATTAGAAGTAGTGTTGTCTTCTTTGTCATGGAAATTGAGTCACTAAAGCATTCCTCAGATACAGTTTGCTTATTTTTATCCTGTAAAATGTATATATAATGTTTTTATATATAAAATAGATGTTATATTTATGAAAGTGTTCCTGTTCTTTGGATGATTACATCTGTAACTCTTCTCTTTGCACAGGTCTGAGCAGTGCCAGTCTTCAGGGTCAGATGAATATCCTCTTCCCTTTTCTGTCTTGTGCACACTCCTTTCTTTGAGCTTAAGTTCAACTACTGTTGTTGTGACACCCTTTTATTTGCTTGCTTGATTCTTGTAGCCTTTTATGTTGCTTTTGTCTGTGCCTGACTCATTGATACAGCAAGAGTACCCTTTGTCTTTTGTACAGGGGTTTAAGTCCTTTCTGTTCCAGCAATATTTTTAGATACTACAGCGGAAAACATAACTTCTTCCTCATGGAAAATTTGTAGGCTTCAGTTTTTGTTTTCATTTTTAATTGGAACAAAAGCAGTATACCCAAGAAGGCTTTTTTTTTTTTGCCTGGAAAATTAAAGAGATGATCGGACTAGCCTTAGAAGACTAGATCATGGCAATTTTACTATAGTCAAGGCAATCTCATAGTTTTGCAAGAAAAGTGAATATGGCAGTTTATTTATGATATGAAGCTGAAATTCATGCCTCAGTTTTGTTTTACTTGATTAGATTATGAAATGAGTTTTTAAGTGAATGCATTTGATATTGACACAGAATACTGGGGGCATGTGGTGGGAGCCAGATTTGGTTATGTTTAGCTTAGGAACATCAAGTGTTGTGGTTGTGCAATCAGTCAGGTTTGGTGAGATCAGAAAGATCTTGTTTGTCTTCCAGCAGTACCAAGTAGACAGATACACATGGAATTTTCAAGGTTCTGAAAATAAACTATGTTTATAATGGATTTTTTTCTAAATTTTGACCAGCCATTAGGAAATTCATTATGTACATCTCTAGGAATGATGCAGCTCCAGCTTGAAGAAGGTGGCTTCAGAGCTGCTGGGAAGTGTGGTTGGTTGGAGCCACAGGAACCTGTAATGTCTGTAAGGCACAGTGATGGCCCAGCACCTCATAATAGGGATGTCTCTTTGGTGCATGCTGTTAATACAGAAATGCAGTTACACTGTCGTTATGTCTATCTTGCTTAATGATACCTATGTTAGTGTTGAAGCTTTATTTTGCTTTTTCAGTACATTCTGCAGCCCACAGAGTGGGACTAAAACAAGTGTGTCTTTTGATGGTCCTGCAGAATAGATGAAAACCTCTTTTTCTACACACTTGTGAAACACCTGTGCATGGAGATCATAATTGTGTGATTCATCATGCTTAATCCAGACTTATGATGCATGTTCTATATGTGGCATGGATGGATTTCCTTTGCAAGATTACAGTGGGAAGTCATGCCTTGTTTGAGATGCAGTATTTTTTAAAGAAGATACTGAAATGTAGCTGTACTCTTTATGTGGAGATGCATGTACTTTTCTCCAAAGATGCACACAGAAACGCAATTGCCCCTTGCAAGCGCACGTGCCCTTAGGAGGGAACATGGATTTGCATTGTTTGCAGGTGCATTTTGAGAGGCAGATTATGGAATTGATACTTAACATAATGTGCTGATTACCTTGGAGTCCAGTCATGCAAAGATTTACAACTGAGGGTTGTGCAGATGACTGGGAGGAAGCCCACTGATTGTGATTTTGAAAGAACTCGCTGTGCAAGAGAGAAGTAAAATTTGGCATTGTGGAGCAAACACTCCAGATGATCTCTAATGTAGTCTCCAAAAGCTGACAGAAGCTGCAAAAATGGCTTTGGCAAGTTTCTAAACTTCTGTCTAAGAGATTTTTCTCTGTATTGATAGAAACTACATGCCTTAGTTTTGTCTCTTTCAAGGCAGTGATGGATAAATTTCTGAAATATGATAAAGCTGGGGGAAGCCTGAAGCTATACAAGCTTTCCATTTTCTTTCTTCATCATGTTGTAAAAACAGTGCAAATGTTTGAGATAATAAAGGAAGATATGCCAAGGGAAAAAAACCTCTTGTTCTCTAACTGTATCTGTTTGAAATGTAATCATTCTGGTGGTGGAGTGTTATGACTCTAAAGGTAACATGTAGCATTCTGATCAGTTGATCAGAAATAAACTGATCAGTTTAATCCTTAAGACACTGAAACTCATGAAAACCACTAATTTTTAGCTGTTTTTTTCTTGTTTGTTTTTTTTTTTTTGGTTTTTTGTTTTTTTGTTTTTTTTTTTCCAAAGGGTTAGACATGAAGAAAATGGTCTTTGTCATGAAAAAGAGCTCAGACTTTTGAGATCAACTTCCCAGGAGAGGACGCAGGTTTCAGCCACAAAACGAAACCAGCTTTTTCAAGAAAAGAAGCGACTACAGGTAACAGGACTGCAAAGTTGTGCATAGGAGCCAGTGCTGTGTGGGGAAAACCTTGTAAGCTGTCACACAGAATTAAATAAATTTATTGTAATAGCGACTTTGCTTCTGTGTAGTAATTAGAGCCTTGGCTGGAGTCCAGTCGATAATCTAAGTGATGATTGGAGATGGCAGCCACAGGAGTTGTGTTAATCTCATTACAGAAATGCAGAGCTGGAAGGTTTGGTGGCTTGTGTGCATGCTTAAACTTTCCTCATTATCTTTTAAAGTGTGCTCTTTGTTATAATTTGATGTTTTAATATTACACTGATCTTCCAAAGTTTTTATTTGAAGACAAAAAGTTTTCATCTGTTTCTGCTTAGAATTTACTATAAATGCATGATTTACCAGCTTTTATTCCTGAAAGATGATTGATGCTTTTCATAAGGATGAAGGAATCATCATGGAGCAGTTAGCATTTGCTAACAATAGCATTACAATGACACATGATGTCACAACGTGATAGTTTGGCAAATGGAATGTTTCAAGATGGCATTAGTCCAATTTTAAGTCTGCAAGCCTTCTAAGCAAGATTTAGCTTTTTCTTTTCACCATCCTTCAAAAATCTCAATGTACTGTCTGGTTATGTGTCTTTTAAACCTTGGTGATCACGCTCAGTAAAGTGGCACCTTAGAGAGCTAATTTTTCTTTTTTTCTGTGGTCTCATCTTGAAATTATTTTTTGGGATATTTTCATTCCTTTGGTGGATCCAATATTATAGTAGTCTCTGTGTGTGTCCACACATAAATTTATATATATAAAAAAACCTTGTAGAGAAATAGAGAAAAACATCTTATGTGGTCATTACAAAATTGTACTTAGGTGAAGAAATGTCTTTTTTTTATCCTATTCATTGCCTTTGTATTTTTTAGGTTCATTTCATCAACAAGAGGAGAAATAGTGTAGTTCAGCATTATAAGCATGTAGAAAATTTTCTAAATCTAGGCATCTAAGAGCTACCTCAAGATATTGAACTGAAGACTGCTGTGCTTAAGACTCCACAACAGCTAATTTTTACACTTGGTCAAGCTGAATCTTTATTCTTCTGTGGTTATACTATGGAAAAACTAACCAAACCATTATACAGGCATGCTATTTATTAGCATTTTATCAAAACTACTGGGAATTCAAGGTTCTGGGGAATGCTGATCTGTGGTGAGTGTATGCACCCAGGAATCCCTAAAGATTGCTCCTGTCCAAAATCTTGCATGATCAGAAGTAATTTTTTAAAAAATTTTCCTCAGCCCTGCTTTCTTTACTTTTTCTTCTGCTCTCTTCTGTTGGTTCTGCATTTGTATTCAGGGATTTGGAAACCTGTGGTAGTATCTATAATTTATGTATTAATATTTCTGTTGCAATCTCTACTTCATGGAGACCATCAGTCCATAAGTGAGGCTGGAGGTGTACAGTCAGTGCTGATTAGCTGTTGTGTTGGAAATCCCAGTTTAAACTTGAATCTGCAAAGTAGAACTCCAGCTTATGTTTAGTCATATGAATATCATCTGCTGCTCCATGTTGAGACTTTAGGCCTTTTTTTATCTGTCCCTGGAGGCTCACCAAGAGCATGCTAAAGGCTTCTTTGCATTTCTGGAAAAGAATGCGGGAGTATTCGAGTTTACTGATTAAAATTTCCATGCTCTCAAGAATGCCTGTGAACTATTCCTGAGCAGAGCAGCTTTCTTTCTGTGAATGCAGATTGTGTGCTTCTAGTATCTATTTATGTTGTACATTTCAATACTAAAAGTGTGATTATAAAACCAGATTCTGTTCATCTTGCTTTCTGTTCCCATGTAGGTTGCTTATTGCAGTGATTGCAATTACTACATTTTCACAGAGTATGGAGGTCTCTGTATTAAGCAGGGCCTATTAAGATTTTGGCAGTATTCCCAAGCCAGTAAAACAGAGGCAGAATTGTCCTTTGTGCACACTAAAAGCCTAATTTGAGACTGAAAGAAACAAAACTGATGGTTTTGGTCTGCTGACCTTTCTGTCCTTGACAAATGCCTGTGGGTTGAAACATGGGCTACACCATTCTCTTCTTGCTATGTCTAAAACCATAGAAGGAGGAAAATAATTGAGGAACCTAGTGTGCAGGACTATTAGAAGTTGAAATTTTGGAGCTAGTCAACCTTTGAATGTACAAGGACCATTTCTTGTTCTAAGTATACTTGAGAAAGCTGGTTACAGTGCAGCAAACCTGAAAGTGTGTTTGTTAACAAAATTTGTGAACTAAACTTCATGCAAATTGCATTGAAAACATTAACAATAATGTTAAAGTTATCAAGTGAAACTCTAAAAAGCAAAGAAATGCCAAAGTCTTATCTGTGTATAGTACATATGTTTTATAAGAGTCTGTAATATTGAATTATGCCTTTTAGATCCCTGCCTCATACATAACTGAAGTGTCTGTTCAGATATTCAGAATACTATTTTATCTTCATTACTCAATATTTGACCCCAGAACCCTTTTACTGTGTGCCACTCTTTTGAATAGAAGTTTATTAATTTGTGAGTGGGCTCCTTTTATAGTATTAATCAACATGGCATCTTAGTGATTCAAACCCACTTAATTTTATCTCTGCAACACCATTTTGGGTGTTACTGCCATTTGCTCAGCTGCAGAATGGAGAAATGAATTGCCATAAAAAGCCATATGGTTGATTCTAGTGTCAGTTTTGTAATGCCTAGTTTTTTACTTATTAAAGATTTGTTTTTTTGTTTTTAATTTTTATTTTTAGTTGGACTGAATGTGATCAGAGTTTGAAATTGAGCTTTGATTTCTGTTGAGTGCCTATAGATAGCATGTCAGAGATCTCTTGCAGGTTATATAGAAAATTATGAACATACAGTCTGTGGCTATGTGTGGACATAATAGTTTAAATGGCTTGCAAAGTTTCACAGAGATGGTAAGAAGTGTAGGAATCGAGTCTCATTCTCCAGTATGGTGTTCAGCTAGTTTGATGACAACTTTAGCTCAGCAACCCAGTTTCCTTCAACAAGTGCTGCTTCCTTGGATGCAAGCTATCTGTTGGGTTTTCAAGGAAAAACCTGTGCAAGGATGATGTACAAATTAATGAAGATTTTTTTTTTTTTAACTTTTGGCCTCCTCACTTCAGGAAGGACATAGAGGTGCTTGAGCACATCCAAAAAAGGGGAATGAAGCTGGTGAAGGATCTGGAGCACAGAAGTTTGATGAGGAGCAGCTTAGGGAGCTGGGAGTGTTTAGCCTGGAGAAAAGGGGTCTCAGTGGGGACCTTATCACTCTCTACCTGAAAGGAGGTTGTAGCCAGGTTGGTCTCTTCTCCCAAGTAACAATTGACAGGAAAAGAGGAAATGGCCTCAAGCTGTACCAGGGGAGAATAAGATTGGACATGAGGAAGAATTTCTTCACTGAAAGGGTGGTCGGGCTTTGGAGTAGGCTGCCCAGGGAGGTGGTGGAGTCACCATCCCTGGAAATGGTCAAGAAATGGCTTGACATAGCACTTAGTGCTCTGGTTTAGTTGTGCTGTTCAGTCAAAGTTGGGCACAATGATCTTGGAGCTCTTTTTCAGCATTAATGATTCTACAGTTCTGTGGTTCTAAAAATTGTATTTTGCTCTTGCAGGAAACGTCAATATCGTAATGCACAATTTGCATTTCTAGAAAAATGAGTGCAACTGATGTTGAGGTTCTGTGCATTTTAAGTCAAGGGAAGGATTTTGTGCTTTTAGTTAATATGAAATGTTAATTATCAGAAGGGCTGATTAGATAGCAAGTGATTCTATGCTTGCATCCTGTGCTTCATGTTGAATTGGAACCATCAGATAAACCATTGCAGGGATATTCTGCAGGATAGATGTTTGATCAGTTTAGCTGCCAGTCTGTAGAACAAGATTCTGTTGCCATGGGTGATCTGACATTTGTTTTTTTGGTGGAAGTTTTTAGCTTGTGAACTTGTGAAATACCTATGTATTTTAAAAGTGAAAGAGGACTGAGAGTAGATGTTGGAAGGGGAACGTGAAGTGCGGTGCTGAACTGGAGGTGGTGAGTTTCAGACTGCTGCAAGCACTAGAGTTTCTGAGTACAACTGAAATAAGAGTTTTTGTGTGTCAGCAAGAAGATGTCTCATTTAATGTTTGCTAAATTGGACATATTTAATTCATGCTACTTCTGACACTTGTACTGTTTTTTCTTAGGGGTGAATGGGTTTCTTTTATAAGATTCATAATAAACTTTGGTTTCTGTTCTATGCAGAAAGAAATTGAAGATCTCCGAACAAGACTGGCCATATTAGAAGGAAAAGATCAACAGCTGAGAAGAGAAATTGAAGAACAAGATAGGCTCATTCAGTCACAGGACTGTGAACTGGCTGCTTTACTTGGCTGCATTTCTTTGAGAGAGCTGCAGGAAATAAGCAAGGCTGTGGATGACACCTTAGCATCCTCCTATCGAATTCCATTCAGTTTAGATCTTCCAGGAGCAATAAAGAGGTATTTAAATTCCAATTTAGATGTGAGTCTTATATCTTCTTGTATGTTCTGCTGAATTTGCTGTCACTTGTTTTCTTCATCATTGTGCCAGCTAATTATCTGGATTTAGACACTTTAAAACTTTCTGAGAAGAGATGTTGGAATTCTACTATCGATGTATTTCCTCAGAGGAGTTTAGTTATTTGAATGTCTTGCACTTAATGTTCTCTTATGGTGAAGACCCACCTGCAGAAAGCATGTGTGTCCATCAACTGTTAAGTCCTATCATCAGCTTACACTATATTTCTTGTTAACTGGTGGAATTCTTTCCCCAGTTTGGTAATGCAGTAATTCAAATGTATTTCTTACAGCCTGAAAGTGTGTACTAGGCACCAGTCAAGTAAATATTAGAGATGCTTCTTGCTTCCATGAACTTGTAATTACAACAAACTCCTCAGAGTGCTAGACTCAGACAGTGGACTTGAGGCAGTGGGCAGGAGGATGCAGCATGAATAATTTTGGGACACTCACAGTTAAATGAACAGTAGATGCATTCTTTAAATGGAAAAGTAGCTACTCTTGGCAGTATTTTGGAAATAACCTCATCTTTATTTAAAAAAAAGCAATTGAAGTACTGAAACTGTACTGGACATTGGTGATGGGACTTTGAAAGTGGTACTGCTGCTGTGTCACCAAGAGAAAATAAAATTCCTGTTTATCCTAATGTACTTTTCTTCCAGAAAAGCAAAAACCATGTTGCTTGCAATTTTTTATCTCCCACCATGTTTATTTGATTTAGTTTGGTTGTATTAACATTCATGAGAAATTGCTGCTCATGCGTGCTAATTTATACAGATTTTTTTAAAGTCAGCAGAACATTTTATAGAGAAGGTATTCTTCTCTTTTGACATGTGTTTAAAAGTGTAAATTAGGTTATGAGAAATAGTTTCTTGCATTAAGTTTAGCTTGTTTTAATAATATCTTATACCTGTGTTTCTGAGATTGAGGAATAAAAGATCTTAAGCAGTATGAGAAACTGATTTGAGTTTTCTTAGTTTTGGGTTTGCTTATGAAAGAATATTCAGATTATTTTCATTGCTGCTGTAATATTTGGGTTGCACTTACCTCGCTGGGAAGTTATTTAAAAGTGAGTTAAATAGTATGGGTTCAGGAGGAATTTTCTATGAGTTGTTTGCTTACTAGCACCATGAAAAGCACAATCACTTGAGAGAAAACAGGCATTCATTATTCAAAATGAGTTTATAACAGGAATGAAAATTTTAAAGTAATTTTTTCCTTTCTGTTCATTTTTAAAAGATGCAATGAATTAATTTTTTTTTTTTTCCTGTTGGTTGACTTTGTTGTCACCAGTGGTCAGATGCTTCTGCTCTCATTCCCATAGCTGGAGTTCTGCTGTTGGGACTCTGGTGTGTTGACCTTGGCTGCACACCAGGTGCTCACCAAGCCACTCTATCACTCCCTCTTCTCTGCTGGCCTGGGGAGAAAAAACAAGATGGAAAACAATCCATGGGTTGAGATAAGGCAGTTTACTAAAGCAAAAGCAAAATGTTGCATGCATGCAAACAATTTTATTCTCTTCTTTTCATCATCAGGTGATGTCAAAACACTTCCCAGGAAGCAGGGCTTCAGCACATGTAGTGGTTGCTCTGAAAGACAGACACTGTAAATAATGAATGGCCTTGCTTCTTCTTCCTTCTGTTAGCTTTTATATCAGCAGACATCCCAAACATCCTGTAGTATGGAATATCCCTTTGGTCAGCGGGAGTCAGATGTTCTGGGTATGTCCTTTCCCAGGATTTTGCCTAACCCCAGCCTACTGCTGGTGTGGGAGGGCAGAATGTTGGAGAGAGGGTGCTGATGCTGTGCCAGCCCACACTGGTGTGTTACCAATGCCTTTCCAGCCACCAATGCAAAGCACAGCACTGTGGAGGCTGCTGTGGGGAAAGTGAACTCCATCTCAGCTAAATCAAATACAGGACACATAAATGCAGTTATTTGACAGTGAGAGTGTACTCAGATTAACAGTGAGCTTAACTGGTAGGTGGCTTCCTTTTTGAGCTGTGCAGTCTATCATACCTCAGGTACAGGGATTTTATGTCTGATTCCGGCCTGTTCTTCTGTAAGATGAAAAAGCATCATGCACATAGTAAGACATTTGGTGTGGGTATAATTCCTATGTGCCTATGGGCATCCCCCAGACTGTCATACAGTTAGACAATAATTTAGGGGGATTATTTTGTTTAAACTTCTGCTCCAAGTGAGGCTACAATTTCCAAGTGAGATCAGGTTACTCAGTGCCCTATCTCTCTCAGTTTTGGATATCTTCAAAGATGGAGATTTCGCATCCTGCATTTCACTACCCTTGCTGTAAACTCTTTTTCCTTTGTCTTGCCAGAATTTCCATGGTTGCAACTTGCATTGGCTTATTCTAAATCAGTACTTGTGGAAGAAGTATTGTTTATTAGGTGACAGGTTTATATACTTTGTTGATGCTAGTTCAACATATTAGTTTTAAATTCCAAAGTCTTGGCATAGTTAATCTGGAGCTTTTTCTGGAAATGTGCATTGGATTTTAGGAATAGTTGCAGAGGAGAAAAAAAGTTTTCTAAATTTAGAGCTATCTGTGTGAGAAATAAAGCTATTACTCATGCACATGTGCTAGAGATCAGTGATTATGTAGAAAGTTCAATATCAATGGACAGTGAATTACAAACCCCTCACTGTTGGGCTGCAAGATACTCTGTATTTATTCTAGCAACATTGTGCTTGTCAGTGAAGTACTGCTATAACGTGCTTTTGCATAATTATTTGTTGACTACATGAATTGCATTCAGCACTGAGTAACACAGGCAGGACTAGTGTGAAGCATCTCTTAAGACAATCTGTGCTGTAATGAATTGTATTTGGTGGCTTGCAGCTCACTAAAAGATAAAAAATTATTCACTATATTGAAGCAAACTTCCAGGAACATGAGAGGATATATTAAACAAAGAATACTTGCTCAAGTACTTGCCCTTCTGTGTGAAGGAGGAAAAGAGCAAGTCATATACAACACTGGGATGAGCATTGGTTCTAAGCTTATTTTTCTTGTCAAGTGTTGTTATTTTTTCAGGAGTGTTCTTTGTTTTGCCTTATCTTTGGTATGTGCTGAACTTTTTAAATACAAAGAGCCTTTGTCAATACCTAAAGCATGCTCTGAGTTTGAAGAATTAAGAAATGTTAGGTGCATTACCTTGGGACCTTACTTGAGGGATGTTGGAAGACACGGTTCAAACCTGCTGGTTAATGGGCAAAGAAGAATGTTTTGACAGGGAATTCTCACTGAGGTTGAGACTGCAGAATGTGGTCGTTTTGCTCATCCAGACAGGCCTAATTGCTCTTGGTAAGCTAAAGGGTATCATAATTATTTTAAAATGGGAAATTGCAGGGTAAAAGCTCAGTTCACTTGTATGAGTTTGTGTGGGGATGTGTTTAAAAGGTGGGAACAGCTGGTGTTATATGCACTGCGACACATGCCAGTGTTTTAACTGAAGACAACACACTGAAATCAGAGGAAAATGGGTCTGGGTGTTTCAGCATGAAGTACTTTCTTCTGGAGATTGCAAAAAGTATCCAAATATATAATTTTCATATTTGCTACTGGACACCATTTCAGAAATACATGTTTTTAACTGGTGTAACTTGCATTTTCTAATTATAAAAGAAGACCATATTAATTATTTGACCTATTCACTTCAATATCTGTTAGTTCCTTTATTTGTTTCTTTCCATTTCACAACACAGACTAGGGAAATCTGTTTTACTTCAGTTCATTTTTAGTTTCATTTTGCAATTTCTTTGTTTTATCCATATCTGCAGACGCATGTGTTCTTACAGCATGCCATTCTTAAAATAAATTGCACTGTTCCATCTGGACTATTGTCTGGGCACTGATTGCTGCTTGAAACAAATTCAATTATATACCTTTCAAAATATTAGAATGTTCCACCTCTTCTTCATATAGAACAGTTTTTGATTAGTAGGAATTTGTTCTATGGTGGGTTTGTGGGACCACCTGAAGATAAGGAAATTCTCTGTTATGTGTATTAGTTATTAGAGGGTGGCCAGTGGTGCAAGGAACTGAACTTGAACAGTTATGCAGCCAGTTCACTCTGCTTTTGTGACGCCTGGAGTTCATTTGAGAAAGATCAATTTGAAATGAAGTACAAGTACTCAGGGGGGTGTAAATCCTATTTGTTGGGAGTGTACTCAAAGTGTTCAGTAACTTCAGTTGAGGACAAAGACTGATGAAGACAAAAGGTGGAGTTTTTTTAGAGAACTTGGTTTACTTGAGTAAAGTTGGAAAAAAGACTTCAACATAGTTTCACATACTAACTTAGGAAAGGATTTAGAATGGGCTGTCATGTTTTGTCATTGGGAGAGACTGCTTGCTGCTGTTCAGGGCCCCACTGGAAAGCGTTCTTCTTGTAGGTAACTGGGTAGAGAGAGAGGGCTCACAGTCTGGCTGTACTCAGAAACGTGCATTCTCCAAAAACCTATGGCACCTAGGAAAGCTTGTGTTTCCTTCTTGCTGGTTGGTGAAGGCATTGTGGTGATGTTGTTGATGACCTCGGTGGGAATCTGACTCCGTCTGTCTTGCCACTTTACTCCCAGGAACTGGATTTCTCAGGCAGGTCCCTTGACTTTGCTCTTCTTGATGGTGAAGCTGGCTTCCAGCAGAATCTGGGTGATCCTCTTTCCTTTCTCAAATATTTCCATTGCTGTGTTCCCCCACACAATGATGTCATCAATATATGGTAGGTGTTCTGGAGTCTCACCCTTTTTCCAGTGCACTCTAGATCACTCCATGGCAGATGATGGGGCTGTGCTTCCACCCCTGTGGCAGCCGGTTCCAGGTGAAAGCAAACTGAGGCCTGCATTCTGCTGCCAGAGGAATGGAGAAAAATGCATTAGCAATGTCTATAGTGGCATGCCACCTCACTGCCTTGGACTCCAGCTCG